TGTGCACGTGTGTCTCTTCTGCAGCTCCGACTTCACGTGGGCGAGTGCCTCAGTGTCAGCAGTAGCAAAGACCAGGTCGTCTACGTACACGAGAACGTAGAACGGCGGCAGAGTGGTGTCGGTGCGTAGAAACAGCGATGGGTCAGCAGTAGAAGGAGCAAACCCAAGAGCAGCAAGAGTCGTCCTCAGTGTGTCGTGCCACTCACGGGGTGCCTGGCGGAGACCGTAGACTGGCCTCCGGAGGCTCCACTGGGTACCAGGAGGAAACGACCCAGTGAAGCCAAGTGGGCGGCGCAGCCAGATCTCCTCGTGCAGGCTGCCCTATAGGAAAGCAGCGCTGAAGTCAAGAGAGTGGAGCTCGTAGTCACGCTGAGCAGCGACGTGCAGTAGTACCCGAAGAGTGGTCATCTTCGGGGTGGGAGAGAAGGTCTGAAAGTAGTCAACTCCCTGCCGCTGACTGAAGCCACGAGCCACGTAATGCGCCTTGAAGACAGGCGGAGAACCCGGCGGCCGCTTCACCCTGAAAATCCACATGCTATCGACAATGTTCGCCCCAGGTGGGGGAACCTCGTCAACGTAGGTGCGTGTGGACTACCAGGAAGCCATCTCTGCGTCCATGGCTGTCTCCCACTGAGAGGAGTAGGGACCCTCAACCGCCTCTGCGTAAGAGCGCGGAGTCGGGATGTCTGGTGCATCCGGGTCTCCCTCAGGGGCAAGCAGCATGGACACGAGATGAGGCGAGGCAGCAGCAAAACACTGGAACTCCTCCTGCCTGTCCTCAAGGACGTCTGTGCTAAGGGCACACTCACCCGCGACGGACGGAGGACAGACAGACTCAGACTCAGCAACAAGACTAGCGGCGTAGTCTAGACGACAACGAGCAGCAAAGTCGACAAGCTCAGCAACAAGAGCAGACGCAGCAGTAGACTCAAAGGAAGGGTCAGTGACAACAGTGGCCAGGAGTCGCGTGACAGTAGGACTAGCAGCACGAAGGGACGAAAGCTCGAGATCCCCAGACACGGAACGCAGACGCATCGCCAACCTTCCCCGTCTACCGCAGAGTGGGGGTGGTCTCCGGCATGGAGACCCGGGGCTGGAGGTTGATCTGATGCGCCGCGTACTGAACCGCGAACGGCCATAGAAAATGGGGAGCAGCCGCATGGATCATGGACGTACGAGCGACATCCATGACCATGCCAATGTGGCGCTCAGCAATCCCATTTTGCTGTGGAGAGGCCAGAAGCGTGAACGTCTGGCGGATGCCCTCCGCCCGACAGAAGGCTCTCAGAAGATCGGAGGAAAACTCTCCACCTCTGTCTGAGTGCAGACGCCCAACAGGAAAGTCCGAGCCGAAACTCTCTCTGAGCTGGAGACGAGCAGCGCGGATCCAGTCGATCAACACCTCAGTGACCTCACCCTTGCGACGCAAGGGGAAGACCGTGGTGTAACGCGAGTAGTCGTCAACAACCAGCAGGAAGTAACGCTCGTGACCCTGTCCACGGACGCGGGCTGGGCCCCACACATCCATGTGAAGAGTCTGCAGGGGAGCCTCTGTCGGAGGAAACTCGGAGGAGTGAGGAGCAGCGCGCTGCCGGCCCTCGACGCAGGGAACGCAGGTAGGGGCAGGCCCCGGAGGAAGGGGAGGGAGGGAAGGGGGCAGACCTGAGACAAGGACACGGGAGGCCATGCCTCGAAGACGAGGCAGGGAGGGGTGACCAAGTCGGTGGTGCCAAAGGAGAGTCTCGTGAGACAGGAGGCGACACGAGCAAGGGGCAGACTCAGGGCCAGACCGCGACGCTGCAGCAAACACCTGACCAGACGCGGCTACCTGACCAGTCGCGGTGTCAGGAGGAGACTCAGTGGTAAGGGTGTACAGGCTGGACCCTGGCCGACGGGTGAACGTGGCCAGGTGACGGCCCGTCCGAGCACACGTGCAGTGCGTCAGACGCTGATAGGCAGGGGTGAACTGGTGAACACCCCCATCCTGAAGATCAGCACCCGCCACCAAGTTCGTAGAGAACGAGGGGAGGTGAAGACCAGACAGCGAGCCGGACGGAGCCGCAGGACACGGGAGAACAGTGGAGGAACGGGCCACAACAGGTCCCCCAGAGGGGTCAGCCAGAGAGACTGCCACAGGCCGACTGAGCGGCGAGAGTGTGGTGCAGTCGCGAAAGAAGGAGCGGGAAGCACCCGAGTCAAGGGTGAAAGTGTGCAAGACCTGAGCCGACGCGGTACCTGAGAGAGCAGCCTCACCAGCACCTGGAGCAGCAGACTCACTAGCACCTAGAGCAGCAGCCTCAATGCCCGGGTTGGGCGGAACACACAGGTAACAGTCACCCTCAGCACTAATAGACACAGCATACATAGCAGCAAGGATAGCATCATAGTCAAGATCAAAGATAGCAACCCCCGACTTAAGCAGAATATCCCAGCGAGGGATCTCAGCGGAGCCAGGGAACTGTGTACGCCAGGCGTCAGTCAGGCGGCCAAAGCAGCGGGGTGTGGTGTGCGGGCCGCCGCACGTCTCTCCACTGCGGTCGCCGGTGCGAAGAACGTAAGTGCAGGGACCAGCACCCCCAGACCTCCCACGTCCAGCGTACCACTCACGGAGCTGCTGAGGCGACAGGGTCTCACGGGAGCGCTGCTGCTGCTGGCGCTGGTCATCGCTAGAGCCTCCTGTCATGAGACGAACTTAGCTAGGAACGGGTTTAACTAAGGGCCTAGGCTTAGTAGCCTAGGCCAAGCGGGTGTCGAGGGAGTTGTGCCAAGAGAGAATCGAGAATGTGTGTCTTCACTATAGGTTTGCAAGAACATATAGCAAAGAAACAAAGAGGTGCACCACCACAACAAAGAAACATAACTACACTAAAGCTAAAGCTACAGGCAGTTATAAACATATATAAATATATATCGCGACACCTCCCCGCTGCCCACCACCGCCCCCGCCACCCCCACCTCCGCCTCCGCCGCCGCCACCTCCACCCCCACTCCCGCTGCCTCCGCCGCCTCCACCTCCACCGCCGCCACCAAAGCCCCCACCCGAGCCACCACTCCCACCTCCACCTCCACCCCCACCCCCTCCGCCTCCTCCACCGCCACCACCGCCGCCCCCGCCGCCCCCTCCACCCCCCTTGCCCCCCTTGCCCTTGCCGTTGCGGCGCCTCCCACTAGGAGCAGACGCAGCGCCGACCGACTCGGTGCCAACGAGGCCGACAGCAGCAGCAGAGGCAACAGAGGGCAAAAGAGGGACGGGGGAGCACCCGTCAAAGAAAGGGGCACGAGGGTCACCACGAGAGGCTCCTACAGCGACTATACTCTTCTCAGCTGCAAGGAGGCGCTCCTCGAGGAGGTCAACGGTGAGCGTGGTGGGGCAAAGGGAGAGGAAGTGGTCCCTGACCGAGCGAAGGGAGTCAGGGAGCCGGGTGACGAGGTAGTAGAGAGTGATGTACATAGGGGGGGGGTTCTTGGCGCAGAACTTGGCAGGAAGCGCATCGCGGTAGTGGGTGTCACTAGTGCGGAGGTGCGTAATGAGGTCAGCGACTGTGGCAAAAGCGGCTTGGTCAGGGCAGCAGTGGCAAGGGAGGAGTAGCGCGCAACAACAGCAGTGTACAGAGTGCTAGCAGTCTTGTACCGGCTAAAGTGTGCGCGCTCAGCAGACGGCAGGTGACTACGGACAGCAAGACGGGCAGCAGCATCGCGCGTGGTCCACTGTGAGCGAACAGTACTGGCAGCATCAGCAGCAGGTGCAGCAGAGGCGCCAGAAGTGAGATCAAACAGTGAGACACCATCCTTGCTATCGCACTGCAGGAACAGCTGCAAATCATCGACCCAGACCTCAAAATCGACCGCTCGACCCTCAGCATCGAAGGTGAGTACATTAGGGTTTGCCATAGCAGCAGGAGCAGCAGTAGTGGCCTAGCGGCAGCAGCAGCAGTAGGAGCGCGACTCGGCAGGGCGGCGCGGTTCGGTAGGGCGGCTCGGCTAGGCAGGGCGGCGCGGGCGCAGCAGCGCGCGGGTGCGGCGGTGCACTTACCAGTGGCGGAAGTGGTGGGCCGCTACTGGTGGGGCTGGGCCGGGGCGCGTCGGCAGGGCAGGGGGGGCCGCCACAAGGAGGGGCCGCGGCGAGGCGGCAGGGCAGGGCCGGGACAGGCGCGTCAGCAGGGCTGCTGCAGGCTCGGCAGCGGCAGCAGGGCCGCTACGGTGGCAGCTGCTGCTGCAGCAGGGACGGCGACGGCAGCTGCTGCAGGGACGGCAGCTGCTGCAGGGACGGCAGCTGCTGCAGGGACGGCAGCTGCTGCAGGGACGGCAGCTGCTGCAGGGACGGCGACGACGGGGCGGCAGGGCCGCTACGGCGGCAGCAGGGGCGACGGCAGCTGCTGCAGGGGCGACGACGATGGGGCGGCAGGGCGGTTGCGACGAGCAGGGGGGGCGGCGACGACGGGGCGGCAGAGCCGCTACGGCGAGTAGGCGGGCCGCGAAGAGCCGCGAAGGGCCGCGAAGGGGGGCCGCGAAGGGCCGCGAAGGGGCCGCGAAGGGCCGCGAAGGGGCCTCGAAGGGCCGTGAGGGGGCCGCGAAGGGCCGCGAAGGGCCCGCGAAGGGCCGCAAGAGGGGCCGCGAAGGGCCGCGAAGGGGCCGCGAAGGGGCCGTTAGGGGCGCGACGGGCCGCGAAGGGGAGGGCCGCTAAGAGCAGAGCGCGCGACGGGAGGGCAGGCGCACGGGGCGCAGCTAAGGCAAGCGAGAAGCGCGCTTCGGGCAGGTAAGGAAAAAATTTCGTAGTGGTGGGCCCTAAAAAAAAAAAAAAACGGTCCCACTATGGAACCCGCTCTGATACCATGTGAGAATAATACGAGGAATGAAATGACTAGAAATGAGATGGGTACAAATAGGGAAACCTAGAAATGTTGTACCCCCTATTGTCTAACCCACTACAGCCTAAACAGGCTAAAACATAAGTTTGACAGTCCTTCTGCCTCTTTTCCGACCGTCGATTCCACGTAAACATGCTGCTAAACGGGTACCAGGGCGCGCCGCCTGCGCTTCCCGCGTCGGCGTCGGCGAATAATGACAAGGAGGAGAGCACGGAGCTGCACACGTGGATTAAGGAGCTCGGCGTCGTGTGGATGACGCCCGACGGCGCGAACCACACGCTGCGCATGGTTGCGCGCAAGGGCAAGCAGCAGGAGCGCGGAGAAAACAGTTTCGTGTCGCTCATTGCCATCGACGGCCAGCCGACTGTTCCCCCCACCGTCGGCCAGTCGATTGCGACGGAAAGCGGGTTGGTGGTTACCAAAATCGCGGAGGCGAAGGAGGGGCCATTCGACGTGGATCAGTTTCAGGTGCGCGTCGCGGGGCTGGGAGAACTCGACGTGCGCGTGCGCGTGGCGCACCCGCTGCTGCAGACTCCCGAGGAAGCGGAGACTCACTTTAACGTCGAGCTCTCCGACGTGAAGATGACGTCAGCCGTGCACGGTGTGCTTGGGCAAACGTTCAGGAACACGCCGGAGCAGTTGAGCGCGCGGTGAAGTACTCTATGCTGGCGACGCTGCTGCACCACCCCGTGGATGTCGACAAAGCGGAGGGGAAGGGGTTTCTGGACGGGGAGGTTGAGGATTACATCACGTCATCTATCGTCGCCCCTGACTGCAAGTACGCGAGCTACGCCCGTGCAGCCTAAGAGGGTCGCGTCCTTCAAAATATTCCGCTGTTGAACAACCGAGGCTGCATATTAGGAGTGTCCAAACTACCTGCTTGCGAGGGAGGGTGAAATTGGTTGGCTGAAAGGGAGGGGAGGGGAATCATTGGTTTGGTTGGGTTTGGATGGTTGGAAGGGAGGAGATTTGTCGGCCCCGTTTCAGTCCATGCGCCTAGCGGATGGCCTTTCTGTAAGGCAAATAAAGTGGACGGGTGGCCGTACTGTAGTCAATATTATTCATATAATTATATAATTGCTGCAAATACACAAAACTTTCTTCTGGTTGGGGCACTCCGAGAGAATGTTTGTCGAAACAGCAGGCTAAAACGAGAAACAGGAAAGAGTGCTTTTCACTAGCATGCAGTTGTGTACATATAGCAAACCCTAATTCGGGCTGTACTCGCTACAAAGTACCCCACTGCAGGCTACACAAACATCACATTCTGACACACCCCCATAGTCAAAGTGGGGTACAATCAACACAACAAGCAGGCAGTGCAATAGTTCACAAGGATAAGCAAAGCTAGAGGCTATCACAGAGGGCAAGTGAGGAGGAGGAGAGACTGTGAGAGGAGTGAAGATAGAAGGCGACGGGTGAAGCCGCAGACACACGGGCAACAGGAACGGCGCGCACGGTGGCTACCGGAGCACTCAACCTCCGGACTACAGGAGTAACTGGCTCCGCGCTAAGCAGCAGCAGGAGCAACAGACCCACGGGCGACTGGCAGCAGCAGGCTCGCTGGGCTACCGGAGTACTCAACCCCCGGACTACTGGCGCTGCAGACGTCACAACGGCAACCTCCGGTCAACCTCCCCCAACTGTCCCACACCCCTTTCACACACCCCTTGTTGAACCTCTAGCGCCGCTCACACGCCACCCCCTCGTACCACTCCGACGGCTCCAACACATCCACCCCCCTCAGCGGCAGCTGCAGCAGTGGGAGACGGAGGAGGAGGAGGAGCAGGGGACGGCTCACACACACGGCACCCCCATACTCTCCACCCCTAAACCCTAACACAGGAGCGCGGGCAGCAGCGGGGGTGGGGCGCGGTCAGAAGCTCGGGACGAACCGCACGCGGGCTGCCCGGGCCGCGCGCGGGCCTGGCGCAGCCCGTACGGGCCGCGCGCGGGCTGTACGGGCCGCGCGCGGGCCTGGCGCAGCCCGTACGGGTCGCGCGCGGGCCTGGCGCAGCCCGTACGGGCCGCGCGCGGGCCTGGCGCAGGTCGCGCGGGCCGCGTCGGGCGACGGGGGGCGACGCGACGGTCGACAGGGGGCGACGCGCGGTTCGACGGGGCAGAAAACCGCCGCGCGCCCCGAGCGCGCGGCGGGATGAAAAATCGCCGCGCGCCCGGAGCGCGCGGCAGGCAGGGGACAGCAGGAAACCGCAGCGGAAGCATTGGGCGGGACCACCCACAGGATCGACCCAGGAGGGTCGACCTGCTCTGATAGCATGTCGAAACAGTAGGCTAAAACGAGAAACAGGAAAGAGTGCTTTTCACTAGCATGCAGTTGTGTACATATAGCAAACCCTAATTCGGGCTGAACTCGCTACAGAGTACCCCACTGCAGGCTACACAAACATCACATTCTGACAATGTTGACATGCTAAAAAGAACCGTACTGTACCGTATTTTTGTAACATTGCAATACAAACACTTCTCGCTGCAACCAATAACAACTTTCCCCTAATGCTCACGTCCCCATTCCAATGTCACAGAAAGAACCTCCTCCCACTCATCCTATAAGAGCTTCCTTCCACTTCCCCCACCCCCCTCCCCCCACGTGAGTCGTGTTCATTTGACCACCACAGCAAGCCAAGACAAACCATTGTTCACCCCATGCTCCTCCCACAACCCTCTCCACCTTCCCTGTTTTTCCTCCCCCTCCACAACCCTCCTCCTCTCCCCTTCCTCCCTCTCTGTTGCATGACTCCTATCGCCCCCCCGTGGCCCACAAGCCCATCTCACTGGCCCAGGAAGGGGACTTGGGAACCTTGAGAGGCACAAACTGCGTTGCTTCATACGCCCCTTCTACACCAGCATCATACTCTGCTCCTTCCATTCCCCCCATCCCTTCCATCATCCTTTTCACACTCATAGCCTCGTTATGAGCGTAACTCCTGCTGACAGGAATCACTCCTTTCTCGATATAGTCCCTCCTCCCATCCGTTTTACTCCTCCGCATCGGCACAACCCCGACATCGTCGTAACCGTTACTGTCAAAAGCAGAAGCGTAATCAGCATCACCACTAGCAGCAGTGGCAACTTCGCTCAACCCATCCCCATCCCTACTCCCCCTTCCCGAGCCTCCCCAGCTGCTTCGGACCCAGCTGCTTACCGAACCAGACAGGCGGCTCCCGGTCGTACCAGTCTGGGTTCGGGAGAACATACCAGCCCAAGAAGTCGAGAGAGAGGGGGAGGAGGAGAGTGTAGGGGAGGAAACACCTGCAGCCGCGTCAGGGGAAAAATCAAACAGCGAGTCAACTACCCGAGGTGAAGGAGAGTGAACCGGAGACTTAGCCTCGCCGCTTTTAAGCCGCTGCAGGTGTCGTCTCAGGGAGAATCGACCTCTGTGCCCACTGCTGCTGGCACCGCTACCACCGGCCTCTGTGCCTGAATCTGCTTGCGGCTTCACCTGTGGCAAGGAAGGAACCGCACTGCTAGCCTCAGTACGGGACTCAACCTGCCTGTCAGCACCACCAACACCACCAGAAGCGTTCTCGCCATGCCCATCCTGTGCAAACGAACCTTCTAGGCTCAACATACCGTTCTGGTTGAGCAAATTATCTCGGCTCATCACGGGAGCATGCTGGGTCAGAGATCCGTCTCGGCTCATTCTCCCACCACTGCCATCCAGCCCCCATGCGCCCCCGCTCCCTTCTCCCCCAAACATGCTGTCTTGCCCACACGACCCGTCTCGCCCGAACAGGCCGTTTTGGCCTTCCAATCCCCCCACACTCCCACCATACGTCCCCTTTCTCCCAGCAGGAGCCTCTGCCAGTTTGTCCCGACTTCCGCTTGAGCTTCGGCCGAACAGCCTGTCTCGGAAGCCTCGCCGCTTGGATCGGGGACCCGTCTCAGGTTCGGTTTCAGGCTCGGGCTCCTCCCAGACCTGAAGGTCTGGAGAGAGCGGTTGGACCAGGTCAAAGTGGTAAGCGGTTCGGGAAACAGGTTCGGGGCCAGTTTCAGCGAGGGACAACGGGGCAAGGGAGGGATGTGGTGAGAAGGGAGGGAGGTGGGTGTAACGCGGTGTGCATGGGTTAGAAGGCAGGCGAGAGGGTTGAGTGCGGCTGCGACTTAATGGAGGGTAGCTTGGAACCTCCTCCTCCTCCTCTAAATCCGCCTCCTCTAAATCCGCCTCCTCTATCCCTTCCCCCCCTTCCAATGCTACTCCCCCACACACCACCCCACATCTTGCCCTCAACCTACCCTCACCTACACTCTTGCTCCTCCTCTCCAACCATCGCTGCTCTACTCCAAACCCACCCCCCCCTCCGACCTCCCCACTCTCACGACCTCCCTCACTCCCCCCTTTTCCATCCTTCTTGCTCTCACCAGCCCGTCTGGCTGCAGCACGCTCCCGCGCTCTCCTATCCCGCATAACCCTAATCTCCCTCTCCATCTCTCTCAACGCCTCCTTCTCTCTCACCCTCTGCTTCTTCACCCCTCTCTCCTCCTCGCCCCCTCCCTGCCTCCGCTTCTCGTCTGTTCCCCGTTGCGACCCCTGCCCCTTCCCCCCCTCCACTCCCCTCCCTTTCCCCTCCTCTATCCCAGCTCCTTTCGCCAACTCACCCGCCCCTTTTCTCCTCTCTTTCCCTTCATCCTCCCGTCTCCTCGACTTAACCGGCTGGCTTGAAACAATCTCCCCTTTCGCCCACTCTCTCTCCATCAGGCTTGTTCCTCTCGGCGTGCGAGCCGGCACAGAGGATTGTCTGTGAGGCTGCTTGTGTCTCCCCCCCTGTTGCATCTGCTCCCTCCCCTCAACGGTGTTTTGAACAAACATATCTGCAACCGGAGCTGCATCTGTTTCTCTCTCTCCCTCTGCTGCGACTCTTCCTGCAGCAGCTGACAACACTTCTAGTGCTGCAGCTTTCGCTGCTGCTCGTTCCCTCCGACTCATCGACCGCTGCAGCAACAGCCTCACTCGATTGCTCTGTTGCTGCCCCTCCTCCTCCTCCTCCTGCTGCTGCTGCTGCTGCTGCTGCTGCTGCTGCTGCTGCTGCTGCTGCTGCTGCTGCTGCTGCTGCTGCTGCTGCCCCTCCTCCTCCTGCTCCTCCTCCTGCTGCTTCTGCTGCTTCCCCTTCTCCTCCTGGTGCTGCGGCTGCCTCTGCTTCTGCTGCTGCGACCATGCCTCAATACGGCTACCCAACCCCCCTGCACACTCACAGCACGTCGCAACCCAGTCCCCTCCACCACCTCTCTCCCTCCCACAATCTCATCTCCTCTCAATCCCACTATTTTCTTCCCCACAACTCCATCCCGTCCCCCTCCTCTCCCCCCCGCCGCCCTCTTGTCTGACTTTGACCGATGCACCAAAGGTTGACCCGAGTCAACCTCCCCCTCCTCCTCCCACGCAGATATGACATCCCTGATTGATGCAGGTGGCTTTTGAGAATTCTCATAATCCTCCCGCCTCCGTCCTCTCCGCCCTGCCACCCTCTTTTCTGATTTTGACCGCACCAGCGGTGGGCTCGAATCAATTCCTGCTTCCTCCCGGGCAGCTGTGAAACTCCGGGCAGGCGCTATTTTTTCAAACACGCTAGGAGCCAAACCCAGAGGAGGGGAGCCGGTAGGTGGGGAACACCTGGCAACACCTGATTGGAGCACCACCACATGCGCTTCTCGACCAATCACATCCTCCCCATCCCCAAACACGTCCCACGCATTCAGCCTCTTCTTCCTCCCCCTCTCCCTCACGCTCCCTCCTCGCCTCGACTCGCTCCCATCAGCAGCCATTTCACTGGGTGGTCCTACCACGGGTTGTTGTTCTGCGCGAAATTGGTCTGTCAAGGGCGACAGAGAAAGGAGGCGTTCAGTGGAGGAGGTTTTTGATCGCCGCATGCAGTGCCGCCCTCTGCTTCTCGTGCTGCTGCTGCTGGCAGGTTCTGTTTTAAGAGGCTCGAAAACCGAGCGTCTGTTTTGGTCGGCCTGCGCTAGCATCTGCTGCTGCTGCTGCATCAGTCCCTGCTGCCTCTCTTCCATCCGCCCTCTTGTTGTCTCTGCTCGCCTCAACTCCCCTGCTTGCACCTCTCCCACACCACCCTCCTCACAAATCAAAACTCCTTTCTCAGGGGAGGGTGGCGGAGAGCCAAGCCTCTGATTAGAGGAGGTTCGGGACCGCCGCATTTGATAGC